CCCCTCCACCCCCACCCCCACCCCTACCTGCCCTCTTGCCACTGGGGCTCTCCCTTTGTCTTCTCAACAATCTCAGAATTAATGTGATAATTTTCTCAGTATAGCTTGCTTTGAGTCTCTCATACTTTTCTGCCTTTTGACTGCGTATCTTTTAAAATTCCAAATAACCATTTGCTTTCTGATTCATAGCCAGCAATCTTTAAAAGGTCAGATGAGAACTGTTTTTTTTCTCCATCCTGTGAAATGATGGATTGGTTCTGACTGATACTTGCTTTTTGCTACTCTGATAATTGTACTTTTTCTGTCAATTATTGATTTATAATTTTTTAATACTTTTTATATGTGGTATGTCCAAATTGTTAGGTTGAAGTTACATCTTAATTGTTTTGAGATGATAATCATTTCCTCCAGTAATTTTTCAATATTAAATGTTTTATTTGCTTGTCAATCAGAGCATACTGATTTTTGGGCTTCCTTACATAGTTTTTAAACATGAAAAGAAGGTCACAGTTTTCTTACTTACCCTTGAGTTAACACAGTACAGCTCAAGATATTTTTGTGCTATTAAAATTCAAATTATAGTGTGACTGTTGTATGTGGATATAGCTGAAAGAAAGATAGGCTTAATTTGTTTTTTTGAAATGTAACACATATAGCGAAGAACACAAAAGAAATGTATGATCTCACCAAGAATTACAGAACAGACATGAATGTGAGCATCACCCAGGCTGGGAACTTGAGTGTTGCCGGTGCTCACAGCACCACTCACCCCCAGAGCTGATGGCCATTGTGACTTCTGTGGTGGCCACTTCCTTTACTGTTTATGGCTTTTCCTATGTGTTCATCTCTGAACAATATCAAAATAGAAGAATTTAAAACGGGACGTTTTAAATTTACAGAAGTGCCTGGGTTGTGCCAGGAGTACCATTCTCAGATTAACTTTTCGTATTCCTGCTATTTGAGTAATAAGGACTTTGGAGCTGTGTAGCAGGAGGTGCCTCCTTGTTCAAGTGCTGACAGATTAAAAACCGTTCTCAGGCTTTCCATCATGCACAACCAGGCCCTCATTTGAGGCCATAAGGCTTGGTTTCAGCCATGTTCATGCCTGCTCTGCAGTAATCAGTGGGTTTCTGAGATGCCACTCTCCAGGGGTTGATCGTATTAGACTTGTTAAATTCAGCTTTTAGGATACTTGATTTTGAAGCTTGTAGTAGTTCTGGGACATAAATAGGTAATGGCATTGCATCTCATAAAAGTTTTTATTGAAAGAAACATTTAAAGAATCATGTTAAATGTTAACCACATTATAAAATACAAAAACGTATGAATATAGTTAAAACTTACCCACTAACATTTTCACGTAGCCTTTTTTGGCATCTCAGGCGATATCAAATGGTAACAACCCATTTGCCCTAATTCTCAAGAGCAGTAGTTTGAGAAAACCTGATGGTTTAACAAAGTTACTCATTTTCCTAGAGATGCTGATTCTCAGTCATGGAGGGGATCTGGAAACCAGTGCTCTACAACTTAATTTCTTATTCCTTCTCCTTGAATGTTTTACTCATCCCCTCATCAGGCCTCCAGCATTTGGTGTGTGAGCACTTTGCATCTTTCCTTTTGTGCCTCCTTCCTCTTGGCTACCTCACTGAGGACAGTCCAGGGATGTTCCCTCCTCTGACCTTGGAGGAACTGCCTATTGCTTCTTTCATATGGCATTTCTCCCTGTGCTACCTTGCTTTGGGATTAATCAGAGATGTGCCTATGTCTCTCCAGTGTGCACGTTTCTTTTCTTTTTTTAAAAAACTTTATTGGGAACAATATTTTTTTGGGGAACAGTGTGTTTTTTCCAGGACCCATCAGCTCCAAGTCAAGTTGTTGTCTTTCAATCTTAGTTGTGGAGGGTGCAGCTCAGATCCAAGTCCAGCCTCTGCTTTCAGTCTAGTTGCGGGGGTTGCAGCCCACCATCCCATGCAGGAGTCAAACCGGCAACCTTGTTAAGAGCACGTGCTGTAACCAACTGAGCCATCCGGCCGCCAGCCAGCAGCTAAGCTGCAGCTCAGCTCAAATCATTGTCTTCAATCTAGTTGTGGAGGGCGCAGCTCATTGGCCCATGTGGGAATCAAACCGGCAACCCTGTTTGTTGGGCAGAGCACGTGCTCTAACCAAGTGAGCCACCCGGCTGCCCCCACATTTCTTTTATATCTTTGACTCAGTAGCTGTTAGCTGGTGAAGAATACACTTTGAGTTACTGAAGCTGGCCGTAATGTCAGGCTTGTTCCAGAATCTAAATGTCCTTTGGATGTTTGTAATCAGAGTTCCTCAAGGGGCATATGGAACAGAGGCCTAGAAATGTGGGTTGCCACCTTGTCCACACATCCTCAGCAATGAGAATTGACCCTGAGTGGAGACCAGCTCTTTCTATCCCTGTTAGGTCCTCAGGCCTGCCAGGGAGAGGGAAGAGGTTTGGTGATAGTTCTGTCTGCAGGATTAGAGGAACAGCAGAGCCCCTGTGAGTTTCTAGTCAGCTTCATCCAGGGAGTTGGGACCCTTAACCTGGGACCCATGCCTATGAAATAAAATTTCCTAGACATTTGTAATTTATATGGAGAGATATCCTAATTTCTCCATCATGACTAACGCTACAGCGTTTAAGAAGGGTGACTTACAGGGCAGTAGATAAAGGGGCAATTAGGAGATACCGACCCCTTCTTCAGACGGGTGTGGGTGGATGGTGGCAGCTTTTAAGGATGATGGACTGCGTCTCCAGTGGAATATTGGGGCTGGGTTCTCTGCAAGGGGACATGAAGTTCACTTTTTCTTAGTTTATTCTCTGGCACTCAATGTGACTCTGACTGCATCTTTGTTAACAGATGGCTTATGTGGCCCAGTAAATACAATGTCTTTGACCAAAACATAGTGTTCATGCTTTTTCTCTTTTCCACCCTTTTTCTGGATTGCTAGTTGACTACATACAGATTGGCTCCTGTGAACGTACTGTTAAGTAACTTAATGTATTATTGGTTTCGTTGGTGATATGTACAATGGATATTTGTGTTCTAGAGTTCATTCCTTGCATGGACAAGCTGTTTGATGAATCCATACTCATTGGTTCAGGATATACTGCTCGAGAGACACTCAGGTATGAGATTCAACCCATGATATCTGGTTGATTAAATGCGAGGGGCAGTGATTCCTGGCACTTTGTGTTATGAGCTATGTTATGATTGTTTCAACAAACACTTGGGCCCTCTCTCCCATTGGATTTAGAATTGCAGGAATTTTTTGGAAATGCCTTATGTTGCCACTGTTTTCTATATAAAACAGTTATAAAATACTGTATTTTGCCATGTGTAATGCACTCCTGTGTATAAGGCGCACCCACGTTTTTGGCCAAAACTTTCAGGGAAAAAAAATCTTTTATTATTATTTTTTAAAGATTTTATTGGGGAATTGGAGGGGAACAGCATTGGGGAATTGGGGAAGGGGAACAGACAAGCTGCTGTGCTTTTGTTCTTGTGTCTAGTTGTGGAGGACGTTGCTTCACTGGCCCATGTTGGTATTATCATTGTGCTCTTCCCGGATGAGGCAGATAGGTTGCCAGTCCCTGGACGGCCGCTCATGGTGGCTCTTGGCAGCTCACGCCGGCTGTTGGCTACTCACGCTGGCTTCTGGCCACTGATGGTAGCTTACGGCAGCCTACTGCAACCTTGCTGCAGCCTACGTCGTCGCAGGCGACTCACGGCAGCCCAGCTCCAGGTTGAGCTGTTGCTCACCATCTTAGCTGTAGAGGGCGCGGTGTCACTGGCCCACATGTGGGATTTGAACTGGGGCCCTGATGCTCAGAACTGGCATCCCAAGCCAACTCCTAACCATTGCGCCACTCGTCTGGCCCTTGTTTTAATATTTTAATTCAAATTTTTATTTGTTTACATTTAGGTACTTGTTTTTTGTATTATGAAGGAATTTTAGCATTCATTTTTTTTAACATATTATGGTACAAGAAATTTTATGTACTGGTAACAAATTGACGATATTTATGCACCATAGAAGGCCAAGAAATCTTTGTCATTGCAAGTTAGTTTAAGTTCAACAAAAGCAATTATTGTATTCCAGGGTATTATTTTGCATACAGATATCATTATTGATTTCTAGAGTTGCACTTTTAACTTATAAGCATAAATAAAATAATTAAAAACATTTATATAGATATGGAATTATACACTACCTGTGTATAATGTGCATCCTTATTTTTCCCTCACCAGTTTGGGCAAAACAGTGCACATTATATGCGGCAAAATACGGTAGTAAGTAAGCCAGTCTTTATAACTTAGGGTTGAACCTGCCTGGAGATTAGATCATGTCCTCAGATCGTGTCACTACTGATTGAAACCCCTGGCTTTCTGTTGTTGCCCTTAGACAAAGACAAAACCCAGACTCTTGACTGAGGCAGCCATGCTGGCCTTAGCTTCTTGGCTACTCCACACAGTTCCCACTCAGGGCTTTTGTCTTGCTTCCATGTGGAAACTTCCTGGCTTTTTGCCCTATAGCCCCTTTTGTCCTTAAGGTCTCAGCATCAGTGTTAGCTCAAAGGGGCTTTGCCCAGCACCCTATCTAAGAGTGGTTCCCTCACTGGTCTTTCTCACAGCGCCCTTTCCCCATCTCCCACAGTGCTAATCATCTTGTGTGTTTCCCCTCCTGTAAGTAAGCTTCCTGAGTGCAGGAACTCTGTTTACCTTGGTCACTGTGGTATCTGTCTCTGGTTCCTGGCCCAGTGTCTGACACATGGCGGGTGTTTAAACATTGAGTAAGTGAAAGCACTTCATAGCCCAGACATTATTATTGTGTCTCTATAAAATGGCCCCAATATATAAGGTAGTAATTGACATAGTGTTTATCTTTGAGCAACAAAACCCATTCAGCTCACGATCAAGTTGGTAATTGTTTCTGTTCACGTTAGCTGTGTGCCAGCGTTAGTGACGTGTACGAACTTGGAAAGTAAAACTGAAAGCACCAAGACCAGACTTTCAGTTGTGGTGCTGGGGGAACTGGGACCAAATGTGCCGTCCCAGTGGTGGTGCTCCCAGGCAGGTAGTGGGAGAAATGTTGACCTATAGATGTGGCCTTGGGGACGCTCAGATGCGCTCTAGCAGAGGTCTCTGCCCGCAGGCCCCTCGCCTACAGCACGCTGGCTGACCTCGTGCATCACGTCCGTCAGCACCTGCCCCTCAGCGACCTCTCCCTCGCCGTCCAGCTCTTTGCCAAGAACATTGATGATGAGTCCCTGCCCAGCAGCATCCAGACCATGTCCTGCAAGCTCCTGCTGAACCTGGTGGACTGCATTCGCTCCAAGAGCGAGCAGGAGAGCGGCAATGGACGAGATGTGCTGATGCGGATGCTGGAGGTACACCCCCCACCCCCACCCCCGGCAGTCCCACCCGCTGCTGAACTTGTCAGTGCTGCACTGGCAAGCTTATGGGGCCACCAGGTGGCCAGGCTGTCGCAGGCATTAGACCACCTGGGTTCTAGTCCCTGCTCCATCATTAGCTAGACAAGTGTCCTTGGGTAGGATGCTTAACGTCTCTGCCAGCTTACTCATCTAACCAGGGATGACCACAGTGTCTGTCTCATAGGGTGGTTGCGGACACAAATAAAGCAACTCATGAGACCTCTTAGTACAGTTCCCAGGGCACTGTGTAGCTAAGTGTTGAATTAGCTGGGAACATCTCTGGAGAGGTACCCTGGGGTGTGTGCCTAAGGGGTAAAGTGTGATTGCCACGGCAGTGGACAGTAGTGTGGACCGTGGAGCACTGCTGAGCGGCCTCTGGGCCCTGCCTTTCAGGCCGGGGACTCTTGTCCTGAGTGAATTCTTTCCAGGTGCAGTGGAGATAGTGCTACATCCCTAGTTACCCCACGGGGAAAACAGCACATTCTTTTCCTTCATAGGAAGCAGAATGACTTCAGTAGGTCGTTCCAGAGAGATTTTCTTGTCCTGCCTTCTGGAAAGGTTGTTGGACTGTGGAAGAGGACTGATTTTTGTCTTCCCTCTCTATTTTCTCTTCCTGTTAGGTTTTTGTTCTCAAATTCCACACCATTGCTCGGTACCAGCTCTCTGCCATTTTTAAGAAGTGCAAGCCTCAGTCAGAACTTGGAGCCGTGGAGGCAACCCTGCCCGGGGTGCCAGCTGCCCCTGCAGCTCCGGGCCCTGCCCCCTCCCCAGCTCCCGTTCCCACCCCGGCCCCGCCCCC